ACGTTCTGAGGTTGTAAAAAGGTGAACTCCCTGCAGTAGTGAGCTAGGGACAAAATCCTAAGCGAGACGACTTGACTTTTTCACATGTTAAGGACATGTCAGCGTGAGAACTCAAAATTACCAACCACTTTCATATATGCACAGTTTTACTTTCTATGAAAAAGTCCAGGCTGAAGCAGTAGACCAGTGTAATCAAGTCAGTGCTATGAAAAAAAAACCATTTGAAGGTTTTCTAACTTGGTTTTATGGCTGCTAATTATACACATGCGATAAAAGCTCTCAACTATTAACGCTCTCCTTCTCCTATTGACATAGAACACTATCTGTGTTAATACGATACTTCAGCTTCTGATTCGTATGATTTGCAATCTGGAACTTCAAGTACTTGAGTCTGAAGCAGGTCATGCGAAAACTAGGCAACCACTTTTTCTGCGCATTTAAAAATAGGGCTTAAAATTGATTGCTAATTAATGACTGCATTCTCATAGTTGGAAGCAATAAAAAAATTCCTGGCTCTAAGCAACTGGAATTGTCCAGTTATTGCGGACAGTTCAAAGAAACTGACACTAATGCTTTAATGCCCTAATTGATGAACCAATTATAAACCACGCTGTGACGGAAATTCAGTTCTTTTCCGGTCATTACAAGTTCCTTACAGTAATTTTTAAACAGTTCATTCTCTGGAACGATGTTACTCGACTAGAAAATCTACTAATTTGAAATCATTTTAGCGGGAAATTCCCTCAATATGCACAAAATTGTGTTCAGGTTTAAGAAAAGGGCTTGCTGAAAGTTGGCGGGTAGAATAATTGTGTATACCAAGCAGAAGCTGAAGACCATTTTTGCTCAAGGTTGTCTGTGGATCAGGGACTTTTATTAAAATTATTTCAATGGACTTTGATAAGAGAATAAAAGAAATCTTATTTGATTCAATGAGCTTGGAGCGGTGTGCTCTATTCTTATTATTTTTACTTTCCTTGTTTCACTTTTGGTAGATATTATATGTACTGTCTTTAACAACATCGTCTATAAAATCGGCTTTAACAACCTTCATTAGTTATTAAAAAGAAAAATTACAAACCAAAAGATTCACGAACCCATTTACAACAAAGGATGAAAACGTCAAAGGAGAGAAGGATGCATAAACCTGCATTCCTACTTGCAACATCTCACTTGTAGATAACTATCTCATCAAAACACAATGCTCTCTATTTCTTTGCAAAACATCAATGTTGCGTAGCGGGAATATAACAGACATTGCGGAAAGCCGTCAACAAACTTGGTTTTGAAACCAGATACATAAACTTCCATAATCTATATTAAAGCTTCATATTCTTTTACAAAGATATGTCTTTCACTTTTGAAAACCCGATTATGAACTGAATAAAACCTTTCGGATTTTCTAAAGAATTCTCGCCGGTTACTCGGCGTGATTCTTATTCGAAGTATTTGAAATGGCAATACCAGGTTAGCAAGTATTCTCGGTTGAAAGTTTGCAAGCTGCTTATCCACAAAGTCACATAAAATGTCAGAGTACCTGTTGTGAATTGCCTTTCAAACACTTTCAATATTATCGCTAGATGGATGTTGGCTGTGAAGGGTGTGGAATTTTGCGGAAACTTCCTTAATTCCTGGTATAAAAGCATTTTTCACAGAAACGGGTCTTGGTCCAGGTGGCGTTCACGGCTTAGTCGTTTTGTGGTGAACTCACGATGTGCTCTGAGGGCGATTCCAAAGAAA